ACTTTCATATGTTTAGCTTTTATTACAGTTCTAATCACCGGTTTTTTGGGGGGCGGTGTCAATGGAAAAAAAACGTGTTCTTTCGACACTCCGTCTTATTGCGCGAACGAAAGTCCATGTTTGCCGAAAATTCTTTTGATATAACTGGTTTTTGAGGAAACCACTGATTTCAATAGATTTCTTAAAATTCTTAAATACATCCTTGACCATGACATTAAAAATCATTATATTGCCGATAAATAACAGTTTTTTTTAGAATAGCAGCCGACATCTGATACGCATCGCCAGTTTGTAATCAATAAACCTATCCTGCAAGATGGCGACTTATTGTGGAAGGATTGACAGAACGCCGGAAAAAATGTTATTGCAATCAATATATGGATTCATTTTTGTTTGTGTTGGATATTTATCCTGAAGCTACTACCACCATTGACACCGTCTACCTACTGCATATCTATCACAGTCGAATGTAGCTGATTATGAAACATCCATCAATAGAGCCGTCCTAACAGCATTATGGGCCCTGGCAAGGCGATCCATAAGTCAGGCCTGGCAGCCAAGCAAGTGGGGTCTACAACTGGGGGCGGATATGTGGAGATCCAAATTACTACTAAATAATAATTTCAGAGAATATTTTTTAGCAAGGAACTTGTTAGTAATGTCTAGTAATTAGTTAATTAGAAACTATAAATAATATTAGAAAGTGGCTTACAAGTCTTAAATCCATAAATGCAAATATACAAAGAAAGAATAAAAATAACCTCTTCTACTATAATATAAATAAATACACAAAAATCACTATATTTGCCATAAATTAGACATTTTTAGATGATATTGCAAAAATTACGAGAAAAAAAATGATGACAAAATTGTGTATCAATAAAGTCTGAAAATATTTTACAAAAATGTGAATTTCAGAGAAACAATAATTTTGATAATCTTTACAAAATTTATTGTGATTTTTGTTACGTGTACAATTTGTTTCACAGAAGATGAAGAAAATACTTATTTTGCTATGATACAATAATAGATATTACCAGTATACATAGTTTGAATAATTAAAATCAATTTATATTAACAAGAACACAAAATTAATTTATAGGGTAATTTGGGGACTTAACCAATTAAATATATGTAAAAAGCGGGGAAATTGAAAATAAAACATATCTGGTGAATATTTCTCTGAATGAATAAGTATGTACATATTTTTACTACTTGAAAAAATATGAATTTTTAATACTGATCGTGTGGTCTTAAAGAGAATTGTATAAACATTTTTATCTTATAAAAAAAATTTAAAGATAATTTCAAAACTTTTAGTCGGATCTTGAGTTGTTTTAGGTGAATCAAACAAACAATAATTTTTGAACAATTATTTGACAATATAATCCCGTGCTTTCTTTTCATATTAAAATGATACATATCAGAAACTAACAAAGATTTATGTCAAAGAAATTCTGCAAGTGTTCAATTTAAGTCTTCAATAAGAATATCAGAATCATAATGTTTTGTCCTAATTCTTTGTGTTGTGACATAACATTTATATGTTCTTTTAAATTCTTTTCTTATTATCAATTCTTCAGTTACTAAGATAACAAGTTGCTTCATTGATTTGTAACCAGTGCTGAAACATAGATATTCGACTTTTTGAAAGAGTAAAAATTGTTGTATATATACCAGTATGGTAACATTCGTATCTCAAGTCTTCAAAACTTTTAATTAAAAACGTTGGAATACCTCCAGTTAAAAAAAATCATTAGAATGGATGAATAACTGACCGTTTGATTTATAGCATGTAACTGCTGATAGAAAAAATCTTATTGATCAATATTCTGATACAAATTTTCAAAAGTGAGGATTTTGTCCTTTTCTAGAAACTGTGCCAACTCATCATTTTGCACATTTCACACAGAAGCAGAAGTTTTATTTGTTGTTCTTGGGTTTTGGTTGAGGAGTAGGTAATACACTTGATGGCAAATGATCAAATACTGATGGTGGATTTCTGGCTCATACTTTTCCTCTAATAACCACTGTTTCATAATGGAACATGCCTTTCTCAAACAACAGTGTTTGGTTTGTCAAGAGTCTTTAACCATCCTCGCTCATTCTGATCTTGGGGTAGACGAAATATACAAATCTTATTTTGTTAATCATCGTTACCATGACAACAGCACTTTTTGACCATTTCGAGAAAGGTTTTGGGGTACTGAAATTGAAAAAATATTAACTACACTATTATTTTGTAAAAATTACATGGTGCTTCTAAAAAGTGTATGAAACTTATATTCTAATGTCTGGAGAGTTTGGACTTTGGAATTTAGATTTCAGAATTTAAAATTTAAAGTTTCTATGTATGTGGGAATCTTTTAGAGATTAACATGGATTAAGAAATGCCAGGATGAAGGAATTTGGAAACTTGGGAATTTTAAAGTTTGGAAAATTAAATTCTGGATAATCGTATTTTACGGGAGGTGGGGTGCGGATCAGTCACCTCCTCGCCCACGAAATACGATTACCTAAACAGCAGCATATTCAAACGTCAAACAATTATAAACTTAACTAGCAGCATGGCCCGGCGTTGCCCGTGTTTGATTCAAAAATCGTACGACTCATACAGCAATCGCTCTCACTTGACTTAAAACATTTTTGCCATTCCTTACCTTTAAAGGAGTGCCTTTGCCATGCTGATGTTGCTACATGCCTTACTTCTTGCCTATCTCGCACTGCGATTTTTTTCTAAGCTCTATACTAAATATTAAATCTGTTACGAAAAAAGGACTAAACAAAATGAACACAAAACGATCAGCATTAAAAAAGGACTCGTAACTGGAAAAACCGAATGAAAAAAGAATGTTAACAACAAATACTTTTTCACACCCAACCCAGTTCTGCGGAATCAGAATCAATGTTGAATTTAAGCAAGCGAATGAGCCAATTGGAGTAAAGTGCCATGCAGATTTAAATTTTTCCCACTTGTGACGAATGCAGCTATCATTTTTTTTTGCATGCTAGCATGCTAGTTAACATTCGTGTCAGTCAGCTGTTGGCTCTCACGCTGGCCAATAGAATCTTCCTGCCTATTCGTGGCAGCCAGCTATTTACTGTCACTCTGGTCAGTAGAAAATGGCCATTAAACTACATGAAAACTGCCGTAGAAGCATGAAAAAATCGATTATTTCCACTATCGATGGGAGTTGGGAAATGCAAAGTCGGTCTTGGCCTTCCCGCTAACTTGGGGCAGGTGCATGTAAATTTTGGTGCAAATCCGTCGAAAATTGCGGCCGTGCATTCGTTACACACACACACACACACACACACACACACACACACACACACACATCCTGCCTTTTATAGATAGAGATTGTAGTGTTATCTGGATTAAAATTCCTTGTAAAAAAGGTGTCTTTTCTTGTAAGTTTCTTTTTTAAATATATATTAAAGAAAGGAGAAATTACTATTTAGGGGTGGAATTTAGAAGCAAGACATCGAGACTTTAGTTTTGAAATTTGAAAATCGATAATTAAAATGTTTAAATTTCAAGTTTTATTTGTCTTTGAAAAGCAAAAAATAATAACCAACTTTTAGTGAATTGAATACGCTGAGACTTGTGCTTTTACGGCAACATTAGTACTGTTTATTTATTTATTATTATTTATTTGCCGCGCAGAAAGCCACAAGTGTCTGTAAACAAAGAATAAACCTGTGCTGATACATTTTCGACCAGTTTCTCCAATAGTTTTATCGTTGATGTTTAATGAAGCTCCCTTAGTCTGGTAAAAGACCATAATAATGAGACGCCTAATGAGTACTTACTTTACCACTGTAGAGCAGTGTTACTCAACCTGTGTGTCTCCGGAATCCTAAGCTTCCAAAAAGGTCGCTAGGAGTTTAGTGATAAATAGGCTAATACATATTTCAGTAATTTTTGTTTAATTTTATATCCGTAATTTTACCATAAACGCACGTCATATTGTTGGAAAATCCTTGGTTAAAGGCTTCAACCACTTACATTATTTATTATATTATTAGGCATGCAGCAATAAACGACCTCATCAGAAGAAGTCTTGATGCAGCTGGGTTCCCTTCCCAAATCGAACCCGTAGGCCTCGACCGTGGTGATGGAAAGCGGCCGGATGTGATTACCATTTTCCCTTTTAAAGTGGGGAAGTCGCTGATTTGGGATGCGACCTGTGCCGATACATTTTCGACCGGTAATTTGATCAGGTCCGCGGTTGAGCTCGGGATCTGTCGCTTGGAACGCGGAGATGAAAAAAAATAGTTAAATATTCTTTTCTTGCGGACAGATTTATTTTTACTCCTGTTGCAGTGGAGACTTTTGAGGTTATTGGCCCTCGTTCGATGGCGTTCCTTCGGAGGGGTGGCGGAATGGCGTCTGGATTAAGGGACGAGTCTCGCGAAAAAGAGTGGCTCTTGCAGCATGTCTCACTGGCGATAATGCGAGGTAATGCTTTCTTCATCATTGCGGCTGGCAGAGGATAGCAAAAAAATTGTTTTTGTTCAAATAAATATTGTTGGATTTTAAAATTATAATAATCATAAAGGAATATATTTAGCGATGTCTATATAGTGTCAGTGTGAAACCGCCTTTATTGGTTAGTGGACTGGAGCTGTACATAGCGGATTCATATATCACTGAGTACACAGTGTTCATAGATTATATTTACCACGTGAACTACGATAAAATATAGAAGAGATAGAATCACTATCAAGGTAGGTAGAGGCAAATTTGTCCACACTCAATTCTACGAAACTACATCGTTTATCGCTACCTACCCTGATGATGACTTGAGAAAGTCGAAAGCTCGGATCATATTTCTTTCGAAATGAACTTCGAACAATTTATGACCTTAATTTCCTTCTTGTCTAAGAAGGATTATTCGTAATTTGGAAAAGTTGATCAATAAAATTAAATGTCTTTCGTTTATAATACCAGACACCTCTTATCTGACACTATTTAGATAATTAAAAAACGTTGAGGCTTACGGCCACATCACGTTGAAACACCGGTTCTCGTACGATCACCGAAGTTAAGCAACGTCAAGCCTAGTAAGTACTGAGATGGTAACCATTTGAGAATACCAGGTGCTGTAAGTTTGAAAGTGCGACTGGTGTAATGGATAACGGCACGGAATTGTTAATCGGAGAGCCGAGTTCCAATTCCAGTCGGGTTCGTTAAATTCACTTACGCGCAAATAACCTTGAGAACGTCATTAATTCACCTATTTCTCCCCCAGCTAGGGGTTAATTAGTAAAACTTGTATCACTAAAATCATTATTATTTCCAGAAATAAATAAAAATACGTACAAAATATTTAGATTTCGACATTAAATAACCCATAGAGGTGTTAATATGCCGCTAAACAAAAAACAAAAAATAAAAACTCTTATTGACAAAATTCTGCTTAACTTGATATCTTCAATCATTTCACCTCAAACAAGGCGATAATGTCGCTAAGACGCAAGGATTTTACTGAGAGTTAAAGAGGATTAGAAGACTAGTGAGGGGAAAGGACAATATAATTCTTTATGTAGAAAGTACTTGAAGAGCCTGTTAATAACAATATTACGAACTATAAACACCCGTCAAAACCATTATATTACATCACCAACTTTTACTGAACCCATGCTTAAAGAATCTAACGTATGTTTATCTAAAACAAATTGCATGGACGTAAAAACGTTTCCAAATCAACATCCGAAAAAGCCAACAAACATAATGTCTACTCGATACACACACAAACACACCTACGAATATACATTATCAACCGATTCCCACATAGACAAACTAGAAATTTTATACACTTAGATACATATAGTAATATTTACGGTTTTTCAGTTAAACTTGGAATCCGTTAATTACTTCGGATGGACGCGTCATCTCTCCTTAAATTCGGAACGCCACAAATTATGCTAATAGTGGTTTAAGGAGTCGAAGGCACGTAAAAAATGATTAACCAATGAAAACCAAACAACATGCCAAAATGCCAAAATTTCTTTCTTCTTTTACTTTATATCTTGTTCTTTGATGAAGCTTTAATAAAAGTGAAAAATGTTAGATTGATAAACTTTTTCTATTTGTACTTTATCTTCTAATTCTGTCAGATTCCGATCCATATTCGATCCCAACATATATATATATATATATATATATATATATATATATTATTATTATTTCCTTTGATTTCTGTTGTATACACATTTCATTCCGGGTCCCAACCAGAGACCTAAATGTCAGAAATGGCTTCATGACATTTTCCACTGATCATTTTTTGTAAAAAAAAAAAAAAAAAAAAAATCAAACATTTTACATAGATAAAGCTCTTCATAATGTGTGAGCTGTACCTGTGAGTACAATTTTTTGTATTTCTTTAAGGCATGGGCTACCAGGAATCCCTTCAATGAGTCTATTGGAATCTTTTCCAATCAATCCGAGGGCTCCAAATACAACTGGAATTATTGATGTCCTCATGTGCCATATTTTTTAGATTTCCATTTCAAGATCCTTGTATTTTGATAGTTTTTTTTTTTTTCTTCAAAGATATATTACAATCTGCAGGAACTGCCATGTCAATAAGAAAAAACATTCTGTTTTTGTGGTTTTTGATCACGATGTCTGGGCGATTAGCTTTGATTGTTCTGTCTCTGTGTGTTGTAAAGTCCCATAAAATTGTTACATGTACTATCCTTGTAACCGTGTCTGGGTGATGTTAACACCAGTTTCTTGCAGTTTCATTCCCGTAAAATTTGCTTATTTCCCAGTGCAGATATTGACCCAGACTATCATGCCGAGTTTTATATTCAGTGGGTGCTAACACTGTGCAGCCTGATACAAGATGGTCAATTGTTTCTGGATATTTATCACAGAATCTACATTTGGGTTCAATACAATTTTTCATTATGTGTGCTTGGTAATTTCTAGTTAGCAAGCATTGGTTCCTAGCAGCAAGAATAAAACCTTCGGTTTCAGCTTTTAACCATGCACTACGTCACCACTGATGTATACAGGGTTTGTCTACATCAACTTGTTTGGTACAGCCAGAGTATTGAACATGAAGAGGTTTATCTTGCATCGTTTTTGCATTTGGTACATTATATTTGCTTTTGCTTTCTTTTTTAGGTTCTTTGCCGCTGCAGTCGATGTATTATGGTTTATTTGCATTTCTTCACCCGCTTGAAATTCCCTTTTGAATTTGTTGACTTCCTTTATTACTGAATAAAGTTTCTTATTTCTTTCATGTTCTTTGACACAGATCATCATCCAGTCTTCTGTAGTATCTTTGAAGATTGATTGTTGTGGTTGAGTAAGACAATTCTAGTTGAACTAATCCTCTGACCCCTTCGGATCTGGACTCACACAGACGATTAACATCAGCCTTAAGATAGTGCATGCAGTGGCAAGTAAGAAGCTTTCTCGTTTTGACTTCAGCTTGATGTCAGCTATTGTCTAATTAAGGATGTTGAAACAATATTGCACCACAGGGACAGCCAAATTGTTTATGGCTGATATTGTTTTGTGAATTCTACTCGGTATTTAACATCAGACGCAAACATCTGTAATATTCTTTTCTTACTTTCTCCTTCATTTGGGTATTCCGTATTCCATCACCTTCGCTGACTCCTAGGTATTTATAAGCTTCTTGTTGTTGCAGTTCCTTAATATTTGTGACAAAATCTAGATCTATTGAATGTGTTTCTGTAATTTTCCCTTTTTTGAATGTTACTTTTGCACATTTGTCTAATCCGAAATCCATACTGATGTTATCACTGAAACATTTTACAGTATTGAGAATATCCTTCAACTGATTGTCGTCTTTGGTAAAGAGTTTGATATCATCCACGTGAATAGTTGATTAAAAACTTTCTTTTTTACTTTGTATCCATTGTTATTACTATTTAGTTCATGCGAAAGGGGGCGGTTAAGGACAGACAGAACAGAAGGGACGATAAGGGAGTCCCATTGAAAGATTCCTTGTTGGATATTCAAACAATAGGAATTGGTAGTACCTTTGGTGTGATTTAGGTATAATGTGGTTTTCTAGTTTCATACTATACTTAAGGAAATTTACTATCAACGAGGAGACTTTGCACATTTCCAAAGCCTTAAGGATCCAAGAATGTGGTACACTATCAAAGGCTTTACTGTAATCTATCCAAGCTGTCCTGAGATTCTACTTTTATCCTGCTATTTTCCAGGATCATTTTATTTATTAGTAGCTGATCTTTGCAAACATATGAACTACTTCAACATCCTTTCTATTCCAGAATATTTTTTTATTTTGAAGTATCATATTTCATGTGGCACAATGCCAAACGGGTGTGGGGAAAGGTTGGTTGTTTTACACCTAGTTAATCTGGTCTACGACTCATTCATTCATTACAATTTACTCATACAACAGAAGACCGAAAACAAATTGATAAACGTTGCTTGTCTTCTAATGAAAAAACAGCTGTATTGGCAATAAATGCATCAAAATGAATGAAACACTGCCAAGGTGAAGGCATGCAACTGAAACGTGCTTAATATGATGGTGATATTGTCCATCTTGGAATTTTCCGCTGGTTGATTAACAGATTAGTATAAATCTTATGGAACTCTCTTGTCCATTCTCTCGAGCTGGGGAGCTAGTAATTTGCTTACGTAACCATCCTCATAAGTCTCTGTAAATTAGGCACCTCCACTAATTCGTGATACCGAAGATTTAAAATGATTTTTTTTATAAATGATAAAAGCTTTCTTGAAGCTTTCATTTTAGCTTTAATTGAAAGCTAAAGGAGTAAATTTACTATTTTCAGTAAGCATAATAGTCTGGTGTATTTCAAACTGAAATTATATTGATTGGGATCGATCTTTTTTCTAAAATTGTCCTCTTTAGTCGTCTTTCATCGCAATGTAATTCTCTGTATTAAAAATCTTCCAAAAATAAAATATACATTTCTGAAACTTTATTTGAGAAATATTAGCTGATTTAAAGTATAATTAATCTGATTTGAAACAAATATTATTTACTTTAAGTTTAAAATAACACGCAAACGTGTTTTTAAAACAAGCAGTAGCTGTGTTTTTAACCGACATCGTCGTGTTTTATGTAATTGACGAGGCGATGACAGATTGATTATTGTTCTACAGAGTCTTTATCTGTAAAACATCACTTATGAAAATGATTTGAGCGCCTTTTTTATATAATTTATATAATTTTAAGTACTCAGTAATCTTAAAAATGTTGGAAAATATTCTCTGTAATCTAATTTTAGGAATGTTGACTATATGTTCGTGTATGATCGACCATTATTTAAAAAATGGGCACGTTGCATAATATTTTATATACATAAAAATTTAAAATTATTTTAAAATTCTTGGTGATTTGTATTAAGCTTTTCCATTTTTGATTAGTAAATATAGTTTTTACTTAATAACAATATCACCTAACGAAACTAAGGTAGAATTTTAAAAGTTTTAAAAATATTATAATAAATTATTATAATTAAAATTTAAAAAAATGAAAATCATTCTTGTAAAAATTCATTATTTATCGATTTTTTTCTTATGACATTAATAAATTTCTAATAATTTCTTATGTCATTAAGAAATTTTATTTATAAAAGCAATTAAAGGCTTTTCTAATTAAATAATGTCAATTTTATTGCATTTTTTTAATTTACGATTCGTAGCAGATTTTCGGCAAATAAGTAGCAGTCTGAAAAAGAAAATTGATGATTTACATTATCCACGAAGTCCTGCTTTTAATCATTTGGGGATGAAAATTTAATTTCTCGAAATTTCATGAAATAAAGTAAGTCGGGGGTAACATACATAAAAAAATGACTTACCAAGATTTTCTGAAAAAAATGTCAAAAATAATTTCATTCATTTGTGAACAAGTTCTGAAAGTTTCATTAAAATCCGACAATTATTTGATTTTTCCGAATCAATGTGTTTTTTCAGCAGAAAGAAAAGCGCTAAAACTAAAACACTAATCATAATTATTACGTCGACCGCTAACGCAATAAAACAAGATTTTTAACCAAAATTTCAAACGTGCAAGAAAGGATTAAAAAATTTAATAAAATAATAAAAAAACACTTTGGTCTTTTCTCTTAATAATAACATAAACATTTTGGCGATAAAATTTTGTTTTTATTAAGTTTCATCTTGCTATACTGTTTTTTCTTCTTTTTTTTTCAACAAAAAATGTACCTTTTAATAAGAATTGGATCTGTATCCGTCCAGAGAAGTAAGATTACACACCAACTTGTCACTTTCTGAATGGATATTTGCTGAATCGTTGCCTATCTTTTGAACTCTCGTGTAAATCGGACTTATGCCTCCCTATCTATTAATTCTCAGGAATTTTTGTCCTCTAATACTTATATATTCGACATTAAATAAACTTAACAAACGTTGATATGTCGTTAAATTATCCAACAAACCTAACTACACATACATATAAAAATTCATCAGAATGCTTAGCTTGCTTTAAAAAATAAAAATGAATGAAAAACCCACACATAAAGAGGCACGAACATACACCTATATACAGTTATGAACTCAGAGTCACATATACGTACAGACATACAAACAAGCACATGCGCATATAGACCATAGAAGCAGCAGAGCGAGTGGAAAGTTGTGCAGGTAATGTATCCATTTGTGATAATGGCGTTATTGGACAGCGTCAATGGCGCCCGGCCTATTATATAAAGTATTTCGTGTATTATTAATTTAAGCTATTTTTCCTTTCCTCTTTCTCAGATAAATCCAGATGGAGGATCTGAGTCATATCCATTTTACGTTGCATGCAATGAGACCAATATTCAATAAATAAATAAATAAAGAAATGAAAGGAAAAAAAAAACAAACAATATGTCTTCCTTTTCAAAAGATAGAGATTGTTTTTAGAACAAAGCTATATTTAAATCCATAAAGTGAATATCAGTCCTAAATCGTTGGATGATATTTTATTTATTTATTTTCGCTAGGTTCTGGGATTGAAAAATGTAAAACAAAGGAAATAAAAAATAACAAAAATATATCCATAGATACAGAGAAAAAGAGACAGACTCTGCAGTCTGACCAGCAATTAAGAATGAAAGCACAATAAGCATCCGGCCAAGGGTTTCCGTTTTCCCTACACACATACGTACGCACTTTTAAAAATTATGTACACAGTACAAGAGTCATACACCAATGCAAGCGAATATAATAATATCGGGCCCCTCCCAAGTTCTGGACTGTGCGCGTGCCACAGGTGGTAAGCGAAAAGAATACAACTTACCCCTTCCCATTACTGCACGTCCACTTTAAGTCACCATTGTTGCTTTCGTGAAACAAAGGGTGAATCTCGATTATCACCCACCTCTCTCTCTCTCTCTCTCTCTCTTTCGCTCTCTCTCTCTCTCTCTTTTGTTAGCAGAATTAACGCGGGAATTAAAATGCTGGGGCAAAGTGAGGGCTTACATGGCAGGGGTAGTGTGCGAGCAATTAGCGAACACTCTCCTTACAAGAGGGATTGAGCGATTTCTGTGCGCGGGTCTCTTTCATGAGAACAATCTTTCTCGTGTCCTCTTCCTCTGCCATTGTCACCGTGGACACAATAATTAAAAAAACATGCATCACTTTCCAATCACTAAGCATAGACCAGTCTGGCCCAAGGTCAATATAATTGCGCACTCATTGACTAGTAATTACTTTGCTAACCAAATCACCTCGGGCGACTTGCTTGGTTATTGAGTTAGTTAAGGCTTAGCGTCAGTGTTCGAACCTGGGCAAGAACTAAAATAACTGAAGGTGATTTTGTAACCAGTACATTCATATATTTGTAAAATCTTTATTGCCAGTTTGATATTAATTTATCACATTATGCTGATATAGATATTATTTATAATTTATAATTTATGTGTGTATTAATTTTCATGTACGTTTATTATGTAGGCGATCATGGTTCGTAACAGACTGCTTTTTTTTATCTGTGAATTGCCTTAACTTCATACGAAAGAGAGAGGAGTGGTTTCTCTTAGTCTTCTCCGCGTTTTTGAATTCAGAGTAGTCATCTATGCCATGTCCCTTTGAGATGTAAACTATCATGGCTCTCCACAGATTCGATTTTCTTTATTATCTGTGAATTAATGACTTCTTGGGAAAGATAGTGAAGTGATTTCCCTTTGCCTTCTCCATGGTTTTGAATTCAGAGTAGTCATCTATGCAATGTCCCTTTGAGATGTAGGTGATCATGGCTCTCCACAGATTCCTTTTTCTTTATTATCTGTGAATTGCCATGACTTCTTGGGAAAGATAGTGAAGTGATTTCCCTTTGCCTTCTCCATGGTTTTGAATTCAGAGTAGTCATCTATGCCATGTCCCTTCAGGATGTAGGTTATTATGGCACTCCACAGATTCTTTATTCTTCATAATCTATGAATTGCAATGCTTTCTTGGGAAGGATAGTGGAGTGGTTTCCTATCGCCGTTTCCACGATTTGCAAGTCAGGATAGTCTTTCTTCTTTCTTGGTGTAGCCGATTATGGCTCTTCACGAATTCCTTTTTCATTATTATCTGTGAGTTGCTATGACTTTTTGGAGAATGTTAGTGGAGTGGTTTCCCGTTACCTTCTCCATGGTTTTGAATCTAGAGTCATGCATCTACTCTTACCGCTACGTCAAGTTGAAACAGCGGTTCCTGTATGATCACATTGAATCTGGTCAGTACCTTGATGGGTAACCGCTTGGGATCTGTAATTTTGGATGTGCAGCTGATGTAATTGATAACGGCTCGGAATTGTTAATCGGGGAGCAAAGTTCCAATTCCTGTTGGGTTCATTATATTCACTCACGTGCAAATACCCTTAGGAACGGTATGTATCCACTTCTTATCCACCAGCTATGGGTTAACTAGCAAGACTTGTATCACTAAACCTTTATCAACTCAAAAGTTCTTACAATCTAAAAATATTTTTTGGCTTTAAATAACGTACAAGGGGTTGATAAACCGTAGAAAACGAATAAATCAAATCATTTCACTACCTGCACACCCAAGCTTACAGCACCTGGTTTTCCCAAACGGTACTGATCAGGCTCAACGTTGCTTAACTTCGGTGATCGTACGGGAACTGGTGTTTCAACATGATGTAGCAGTAAGCCTTGGTTAAATGGTAGGAAAGTTGTTTTACCAGTAGTTAGGGTTCAAGAACTGGACCACCTGATTTTTCAGGCGAGCACAATTTATTAAACACGGAGAGCTATGGTACATATCATTCGTATTTTGTATGTTAATTTATTTGTAAAAAAATTCTATGCTTAGGAGATCATTCCTTCAAATGATGAGTTCGGACTGCTAAATGATACCTTACCAAATAATAAAAACACGATATATTTACGGCCGGTGGCCGAGTCAGCAGATTTTACAACCGGGAAAATAGAGACGCTAGGTTTATTTTCTATTATCAATTCCAATAAATACCGCTTGGAGCGGAACTTTGTATTAGAGAAAATGGGAACAAAAGGGAAACTTATACTTAACATCAGGAGGAGATAAATGAGATTTCTGGGGCACATAATTAGGAAATAGGGCTTGGAAAATCACAGGACAGACTGAAGGCAAGAGGGAGAGAGGAAAACAACGCATCACCTACTTAGTGAACTTGACTAAATGCATGGCGGAACAATGTTTAGGGGAAATAACAAAAAGACAAAATTTACTAAGAAGCTACAAAGGACAGGAAATTGTGGAGAGCCATGAACGCCTACGTCTTGAACAGACATGGCGCAGGATGAGGCTTATTTTTTTTCTCTACCAAGAAATCTAGAAATTTCTACAGAATTTTTCATAATTTCCAATGATCTCTTCTTGTGAAGGACAAATTATTTTCCATCTTACAACCACTCACCTATAAAACGAATCATCACGAGCCTCTAGGGTTAGCCTTTATTTTCTCCGCATATCCCTATAAACTGTGCCTCTTACTCTATAACCCTCCACCGCAATAGGTTCTAGGTCCTTGTATAGAGTGAACATCATTATAAAAAAGTTTTAAGAGATAGGAAATGTTAGAAAAAAAGTGTGCTGAACTGATATGTAATATCTAAACTCCTAGTTGGCAGTGTTTGGTAGACAATATCCTCATAGACGAAAATGAAACTCGAAGTGAGAAAAATGTGGTTCTATCGACGAATGATACCCACCCTGTACAAAACCTAAGAGCCACTCGATGGAGCATGTAAGAGTTCCATAAGATCTACACTAAGTTGTTGGATTAATTCCTCTTAGTAACTAATCAACTAACAGAAAATGAACAAGATCACCATTTAGCACGTTTCAGAATGTCCGAGAAATTTCATAGAAAATATGTGTCCTCCGAGAGGAATCAAAATTGTATCCTACACGGAACCGTCATATAGCCTGACGTGCTATACCATTTAGCTATAGAGGAAGCGTCTGGTTAGCAAGGTCGAATTACTGCGACAATAAAATACCCGTAGAAATGGCCCTATTGCTTCGTTAAATATTTGAGATTAACAACTTTAACAAAATATTGAATGTTGGTCGTTATTTTAAGGAGTAAGGATGAAAAGATTTGAAATTGCCAACTTTTTCCCTCTCATTGAAACAGCCATTAAACATTTTTTCTTATTTCTTTCTTTCTCACTAAAACCAAGTATCGCATTTGATATGACTTTTCCGTCTTTTCACGCTATTAAAACGGAATTGTCCGTTATTTATGGGGTATTAGCAGTATTGGTGGACATATATTTTTTTTTATCCTGAGCAGATATATGCCTCATTCGCAACCAGTAACAATAGATTCGTGGATCCAACTGCCAAAGTATAAGCTATGAACAGGTTCTGGCGAGATCCACGAGTCCATACAGGTGGGGTTTCGGGCGCTGCAAAAATTTGAAATTTGACCAGAAACTGGATCATACTGGGGTCATATGAAATGGATATTAGAGCATATTCTAAGGCAAACATTAGTTACTTCTAGTCCTGGATATGACGATAAACTACGCCCGGCAGCAAGACTTCTGATCGGGAGATGAGAAGTTTCAAGGATCGAGGAACCACCTCTTAATTGCTGTTGTTCCCAGGTTTATCCTGACCCGAGGTGGTAGCACCTGTTAGGGTCCCAACTATGGGCAAATAATAAGCCATTAAACAAAACAAAACATTATGAATGTATAAAAATTCATTTTTATAGTAAAATATTAGAATTATATTTGTATATAAAAAATGAACAACAATACATATTTATAGTAAAATGACCAGCAGTACATTTTATCTGTAGGTGAAGGCATGAAACGGCATTCAAAATATTTAGATCAAATAACCCATAGAGGTGTTGATATGCCGCTAAACAAAATCAACCAAACAACATCATGAAAGAACTCTTTCATGACATCAATCCAAATAATATCCTACAATTTGTTAAAGAACTCAAACTGTATTCCAAAATATAATTTCAACAATACTATAACATAAAATGCACATATCACCGTCTGTAGTAATTATATCCACACAAACATGTATATGCACACAATCGAAGTATCATGACCCCAGTATGATCCAGTTTCTGGTCATGTATTCAATTGTGAAAGTAGAATAACATATATCATATTTTTATTACTTCAAAGCTCTCAAGAAAATTAAATTTCGGCTTTAAATGACCCATAAGAGTTGATGTGCCGTTAAAAAAAAAGAAATCAAATCATTAGTTACTTCAACTCATTGTCTTATGATCCTATCGCTAAAATGAGACCTTATTTTAATAACAAACATTAGTTTCACAGTAGATCCACCATCAATTGACAAGGCGTAAGGATCGTGCTATGCTAGAGACAAGCTGATAAAACGCCTCATCAAGAAAACTTGACAAACTTTCAAAAATACAAGGGCCTAAAAACAGAAATTGTAAAAATATGGCATTTAAACACAACCACTACCCCAATAATACTAGGAGCACTAAGAATTATTAAAAAGAATACTGATACACATATTAAGAAAATCCCAAGGGACCCCTAACTATCTCAGACATAAATGATTTTGCTCCCTTTTTTAATCATTTCACCCCAAGCAAGTGTGATACTGGGAAATCCGGGGGTTGATCAAACAAAAAGAAGAAGAAAGAAGGAATAGGTGAGAGAGTTTACTAAATAGATGATAATTGTGGAAATTGCGGGAAGATGGATTGAAAAGTTGAGAAGAAAATTAAAAACGAAATGCGTTGAAAAATCATGTTTTTTTTTGTCTTTTTTTAATATTTCCACGTAGAATCGAACGAAAATTTAACTAGACGAATTCAGTAAGACTGAGAAAAACCAAGACGAACCGTCCTTCTCCACTTCCTGCCGATAAGAAAGAGACCATTAAGGTGTCCACAAAGATGTCAGATAAAATAAAAACATGTATTTACAATAAAGAAATCAGGGAGGTCGCCGTAATAAATAACATTCGAAATTCTTCCGGTCAGAAAGGGCCAGAAAAAAAATCCATCGTTCTGAATCAGCTATCCAGAAGAAAAGCATCCCATAGAGATCATTATAATTTCGGCGAAATTCGCTCAGAGAAAATGTTATATCCAAACATTAATTCAGATTCCTTTGGATACAAATGGTAAGGAAAAATTAATTACTATTTTGAAGTGACCATGGGCAAAATGGTTGGGTGGTCTGTTCGATCGTACAAAGAAAAGCATAGACGAATAAACTTTCATTTTAAGGAGAGTGGAAATAATTTTTCTTTACTTTTACAATTCTTGAGTGTCTGGTCGGTCGAGAGATCTCAACATGGGGTAAACTGATGGATAAGGATTAATAACTGAAAATCATTTTGTTTTCGCTGCGCCATCTGTAAGTTGGATTTGTCACTCCAGCCCAGGGAGCGGGCTGAGGTTGGCTACTGAGAAAGTGGGAGAAGGAAGAGAAGAAAGAGAAGAAAGAAAGAGAGAGAGAGATTGGCACCGCGTATATGGAGTTATGGCGCGAGGTGAGGCGTAAAGACAGTTGGAGTTAAGAAAACCAGAACTTAGTCAAACCTACCCCTGCCGGACGAAGTCCATATAACTTGGAGGTTTTGGACAGCTAACAGAGAGAGAGAGAGAGAGAGAGAGAGAGAGAGAGAGAGGCAACACCCCCACACTAATGCTACTGAAATTCGCATCGTTCGCTGAGATCTCTTGACCAAAACCTTGTGCTTGACGTGAAAACCAGAACTTAGAAATTTACGTTACTATTAAAACAAATTGCAGACTCCGAAGGGGATCCCAGTGTCATTTGATTATAACAACAAGTGGGAAGGGTTAAAACCGCTGTATACAACAAATCATATATAATCCAAATCGTTGTTATATTTTTAACCCGAGCTAATTCTTTATTCCAAAGGATTCTTGGTTTTTTTGTGTAGCTCCCAAATTGTCGAACCGTCGAACAGTTTGCTTCATTGGCGATCTTCTCACCCGCTGAGATAAAAACCTAACGTGACAGAGAAGTGAATAGTGGCGAATAGACAAATGCCAGTTAGGTTGAGTGGAACCATTCATACCGTCACGATACCAGCGACAACGAGTCACGCGCTAACAAGTGAAGAGTCAGCTAAATGGTAATCACTTGAGGACCGACGACTGGATGATATTGATTACCGCTGATTAGGATCGACACGAGTCATTACACAAGGCTATAAAGCCACTAAGACGCAACGGTTAGAGAATATGAGAAAAACACTATTAAGAAGAGAAAACAATAAAAGGACAAGAGTTAAGAAGACAAAAGTTAACGATTGGCATTACATTTAAATTTTTGAAGATCAAAGTTGATCGGGAAGCAAGAAGTCGGAAGAGTGTTCCATAAGCGAGATTTCGATAGAAGAAACTGTTAGCATAGAACTTACAGTTACATATAGACACTTCAACTGTAAAATGATGAGACCTTTCCGCCAATCTAGTACTGCGCTTAAATTCATAAAGTCTAGGTACCAAAGAGGTTAAGTTCATCAGATCGATTACCATGAAAGTATTTATAGAAGAGGCACAAAGAAGTTACATTATGGTGGTAGGAAAAATGATTGAAGCTGGGATGCCATGTCAGGACCAATACAATTGCAGATTCTACCCAGAAAAAAAAAAAACTCTCTC